CAGCATGGTTTGTCAACTCTAGGAAATTCAGTCTCGGGCAACTCTTACCCTTCTAAAATGAGCTGCTCCAACCTCTCCACCACCACCGGAAGGGTTTCAGGAACAGAAGACAGCTGATTGTAAGACAGGTTCAGCTGCCTCAGGGTGGGACACTTCACCGAGCCATCTACACCCATGGAGGGTCCAATGTCATTTCGAGAGACGTCAAGGTTGGAGATGCAACTCATTTTCAACAAGCAGGAAGGAAACGATGTGAATTTATTACTATGTAAATCCAGATGTGTCAAGCACTTCAGAGTCTGAAAAATCAATATTTAAAAATTCTAAAATGAACCGTCTAGAAACTTTAGCTAGCACAGCTGCTTTCCAAAGCTCTGGAAGATTTTTTTTTTTTTTTATTAACTTGAAAACTTTAGTTTCAGTCTACCCACCAGCCCAACCATCTCCACTGCAGCATAAAGAAAATCAGGAAAATACATCAGCATTTGTTCAAAAATAGGAGGATGAGCCTACTTCAGGTTTTTTGTAAATTAATTCTGTGAAGAGAAGACAAAAGCAAAATAGGCTTCAACAAATATTTGAATTAATGGTTTAATGAAAAACAGCATAATAATAATTTAGTGAATATAAAATATAATTCTGAGAATAATTTTTTTAAAAATTAAAATTTACAGGCTGGGTTAATAGCTCAGCAGACTATGGCACCTGCTTAGGCAGAGCGCGGTGGCCGGGATTTGATTCCCAGCGTGCCATGCTGGCCCCACCACTGGGGTGTACTGAGACGGTGATTGAGACGGAGGGTGGTGTCATGTGCCTGTAATTCCAGCACTTGGGAGGCTGAAAACAGAAAATCACTGTGAGTCCAACCTATGTAGTGAGACCCTGTAGACCCTGTCCTAAATACAGAAAAAAATGTTACCATTTACAAATTGTTACTCTTTTTTTTTTTTTTTTTTTGAGATAGGGTCTTGCTATGTAGTTCTGGTTGACCTTGAGCTTACTTTGTAGCCCAGGCTGGTCTCGAACTTGCAAAGATCCTCCTGCCTCAGCCTTCCAAGTGCTGGAATTACATGTGTGTACCACTATGCCTCTACAGATTTTAATGTCAATAAGATTTAACCATGGGTCATCCATACAGTATCACACATTTTATTTTAGAATTTCCTTTTTTCAAGAACTTTTTGCTTTAAACTCTAGCTTCTGTTTTAAAGAAATTTCTAATTTTAGAATAATAATAGCAAATCTATATATTATGTCAATTTTAAAAATCCTACATTTATTGTCAAAGGGCTGAAATACTTACATCCTTATGCTTTTCAAATATCACTTCTTTATGTGACAATATACTTTCCTTCCAAAGGAATTCTAAAGAGCTTGACGTGGTTATAAGGTCATTAATGACTTGGCCTCAGTCATTCTACACTTCCTGTCTTTGTTTCTGAGCCTACCACTTTACTCAGAAGCAAAGATTTCTTTTTATTTTAATTATGTACTTCTAACATTTAATCAGGAAATCTTCCTTTAAAACAATGGGGCTTAAATACATCAGGCAGAGAGAGAGAGAGACAGACAGAGAGAGACAGAGACAGAGAGAGAGAGAGAGAGAGAGAGAGAGAGAGAGAGAGATCTGAGCAGATCCAGTCCAGTCATTGGGTCCTTCATACATGTTATTTTTGAGATGCTCTGTTGAAATCCTCTCCATTTCAAGCTAGGCTATATCCTAGGTATTCTTTTACTTACTCTTACAATAAATACTATTAAAGGTTTACTCATTGATTAATCATGTCAATCATTAATTCCTCAACATATTAACTCAGTATCTCCTTAGCCTTAAATGCACACCAGCCTTACTAGGCTTGGAGACAGAGGAACAGCCCAGAATAGCCCGTCTCCACAGAGTTTGCAGGTTACTGAGCACAGAATGTATTAAGTCAAAATATGGGGTGAGCCAAAATTGGGATGCTGTGGAAATGTGAGCCAGGCGGACAGCCAACACAGTCTGGAGGGAGGGTGATGAAGGGAGACTCGGTGGGAGGCAGTGACATTTAGACTGAGACCTGGGTGACCTGACAGGATAAGCAGGGTAGAGATGTGGAAGTTAGGGAGGACGTACTTTAGATGTTGAGGTGGGGGTGTGGGGATCATGATTTTCCTTCTTTCTTTCACTCCAGCTATCTAAACTTCAAGGGAAAGACACTATATAGATATACTTAAAAGAGTGAGATGACCCAGGCCGCGGGATCCTGAACAGACCCAGAGCGCAGGCCCGGC